AGAACGCTGCGGCAGGCAAACCCTCGAGATCCGCCTTGATCTCAACGTCTGCGAACGAAACGCGGACAACGAAGCAGGAATCTGCAGATTGGTTAGCTGGTGAGCAACAAAGACTGACTCGAACCGTGGAGGCTACGGACAGCACAGAAGCCACACAAGACCGCCGAGCAAAAGGTGGGACGAGAAACGGGCAGACCCAGCAAAATCTGCGACGAGGAGCAGCAAACCAGTGCAAGCAGAAACACCTTCACCAAGTTGCACCCAAAGGCGCCGGCGAATCCGCAATAGCTGGAAACGCCCAGCGCCAACCAACGTTGACGGTCGTTGAGTTTGGTTACCGGCACGCCAGGAGAACCTGGAATGAGCAACTGCACCCCCGCAGCGTTAGCAACGGCCTGAGCAGCCGAGCGCGAGCAATGGCGCGCCAGCCGAACCCAGCGTTAGCAAGGACGACTGAAACCGCCCAGCGTTCCAGAGCACACCTGCCGAACCCAGCGTCAGCAAGGGCCTTTGCAAACTCGAGCCGCCCAGCGTTAGCTAGGGCTCATCAGCATTGGCAGCACGGAGCCGCCCAGCGTCGGCAAGGGCGCACCAGCGAAACCAGCGTCAGCCAGGGTACGGTGACTGAGCTGCCCAGCATGAGCTGGGGAACCCAGCGCTGGCAAGGGTATTTAGCGCCTGGAAGCGTTAGCAAGAGCGCTCCAGGACAGCCCAGCGTTTGCGAGAGTTTTTGGCGCCGGAACCGAGCGTTAGCAAGGGCGCACCAGCGGACCACAGCGTTAGCGCTGACTGGAGCAGCCCAGCGTTAGCAAGGGCGCCCCAGCGGAACCCAGCGTTAGCAAGGGTTTGTGGTGACTGGAGCAGCCCCGCGTTAGCAAGGGCGCACCAGCGGAACCCAGCGTTAGCAAGGGTTTGTGGTGACTGGAGCCGCCCAGCGTTAGCAAGGGCGCACCAGCGGAACCCAGCGTTAGCAAGGGTTTGTGGTGACTGGAGCCACCCAGCGTTAGCAAGGGCGCACCGGCGGAACCCAGCGTTAGCAAGGGTTTGTGGTGACTGGAGCCGCCCAGCGTTAGCAAGGCCGCACCAGCGGAACCCAGCGCTAGCAAGGGTTTGTGGTGACTGGAGCAGCCCCGCGTTAGCAAGGGCGCACCAGCGGAACCCAGCATTAGCAAGGGTTTTTGGTCCTGGAGCCGCCCAGCGTTAGCAAGGACGCACCAGCGGAACCCAGCGTTAGCAAGGGATTGTGGTGACTGGAGCCGCCCAGCGTTAGCAAGGGCGCACCAGCGGAACCCAGCGTTAGCAAGGGTTTGTGGTGACTGGAACCACCCAGCGTTAGCAAGGGCGCACCAGCGGAACCCAGCGTTAGCAAGGGTTTGTGGTGACTGAAGCCGCCCAGCGTTAGCAAGGGCGCACCAGCGGAACCCAGCGTTAGCAAGGGTTTGCCGTGAATGGAGCCGCGCAGCATGGCTAAGGGCGCACCACAGCGGAGCCGCCCGGCGCCACGCACTGGCGAAACCCAGCCAAGGGCGCACCTGGAACTACCAGCTGCGCGCTTGCAAGAGCACCCGTGCACGAACGGCAAATGCGACGAGGAGCGCCAGCACCAATGCCCAACGGCCCGCAGGCGAGAGCACGCAACGTGACGCGGCGCTGAAGGCGAGGTGCTGCAAAAGGAAATACCAGAAGACCCTCCCGCCTCCTATCCCCGTCTGCGACCTGAATGCACCACCCAGGCCTGCAGACGGCGTCATAGGAGCACGGGCGTACAGACAGGGGCGTGGGCCTTGCGCCTGCACCGCGGCAGCCTGCACCGCGGCAGCGGCAGCCCCACGAGAAGCGATGCGCACGCGCACCCCCTGACCCCGCAGGCGCTGCTGCCCGCGTGCTGACGCAGGGCCCACAAGGCCCCTGGTGACCAACGACGGACACGGACGGACGGACATGGACAGACGGGCAGAGAGGGAAACCGCACCCTGAACGGGCCAGGCGTGAGCAAGAACTTCCCCTCCAACTCCGCAGCCTCCGTAGGAAGCTACCGGCCATGAGCCAAACGCACGAAGCCAGGAGGCCAGGAAGCCAAGAGGCTAAGAGTGGACAAGAATCCTGCCCCCCCAAACCACTCGTGCCTCGTGATTTAGGGGCGACGCAATTTTAGTTGAGGCGTTTGAAAGGGCAGAATCTTTAACGGATTCTGAATTGCACGAACATCGTGCGAGCAAGCTCCAGTATTGGGCTGATAGGAAACGTGTGACAGACCCTGCGTGGCGGCGGGCAGTGTCGCGATTGCCAGCGCACTGCCAGTGCGTGCTCGGGCTGGATAAGAATTTGTTTCTCGTGGCCGAAATGCTGGACGCGATCAGGTGGCCAGACCAGTTGCTCATTGAGCATATGAAATTTGGTTTTCCGTTGATAGGGGAATTGCCGCGCTCGGGCATTTTGCCGCCAGTGCCTTTCCCGCAGCTGCCGTTCACTCCCGAGTTTCTGTTCCGCCATTGTGAGGAGCATAACGTTGCTACGTTGCACAGGGCGCGCAAGCCGACCGGCGCGCACCCGATGGTGGAGGAAGCCTTTGAAGCAAAGTGCGTACAAGAGGTAGGAGAGAAGAAAGCATGGTGGACTGAAAGGAAGATGAGCGGGGCAGTGTGTGCCCGAAAATGCGATTGATTGATGATTTCACTGCCTCGCTTGTGAATTTGGCGACAGCTGTAGGCGAGCCAATGCCAGTGGATACGCTGGATACGTTGGTGTCCTTGGCTGTGCGGCTTGCCCATGGCCAGCCTGCAGATTGCGAGTTCCTGTTCAGGAAAGAGGACTTTAAGGGTGCATTCAAATCGCTCCCGCTCCTGTCTCAGCGCCTTTGGCAGTTGTGACTTGGCAAAGCGCCGCTTTGCGCGGCAAAGGTTTCCAGTTGCTATGTTGCCCTTTCGGGTCGCGAGCTTCTGTATATAGTTGGCATAGATTGGGCTCGTTTCTGCAGGCGTTCCTGGCGCGAGAATTGTACATTGCGTATCCTCGGTTCGTTGATGATTTATTTTCGGCGGACCGCGCCCAGGGGGCACATGGGGCGCTCACGGGGCCAGCGGGCACCGCGACGTGTGCGCAGCAGATGCTCCAGCTGACCGGCTGGGAACTCGAGCCGAAGAAACGTGTGCACAACGTCGCTGCGTCTACCATGCTCGGCGTGGAAGTAAGCTCTGTGCCAGGTGCTCTCATTTTCTGCATTGGAAAACATAAGAGAGAGAAGTGGCTGGCTGTTATCACGCGTGCACTCAGCGAGAATGTCCTGCGCCCTTCCGAAGCGAAGCGGCTGGCAGGGCGGCTGAGCTGGGCAGGCAGCGTTGTCTTCGGCAAGGGGGCTCGTGCATATTTGGCAGCGCTGCATTGGCAAGCCCACAGGTCCTCGGGGACGCTCACTTCTAGAGTCCGCGCAGCACTGCAATGGTGGTGCCGGTTCCTAGGCAGCGTCCCCACGCGCCGGGTATCGCTCCAGCCGCTATCTCTGCCCAGGTGTGTCGTTTATACGGATGCCGCAGGGGATGGCCACGTGGCTTTTGCGATTGTGCATCCCGCTTTCCGCGCCTGGGGAGCCACCAGGGTGCCCCAGGAGGCGTGGGCGTGGGCGCACGCGCGCCGGACGCAGATAGTGCTTTGGGAGCTCGGTGCTGCAATTTGTGCTGCGCGCTGTCTGATCGAGCATGGGCTCGCTGAGTGAGATACTCATGTTCGTCGATTGCAATCCAGCCTTGCATGCGCTGGTTCGCGGAGCGAGCCGGCAAAGTGACTTAAATGATGTGATCACCGGTTTCTGGTTTGAAGTAGCCAGCGCGTGCATGCTTTTGCACGCTTTCCGAGTGCCTAGCAAGTTAAATATTGCTGACGGCTCGACTCGGCAAGAAACTTGGGACGAATCTGTCTTGGCTTTTCAGTGCCGCGGATTCCGTCAGCTCGAGTGGGCATGGCCGCCCGCACTGCCTTGGTCACCGTAGTGCTGTTGGAAAAAAAAATGCATCATCTGAGGCCATTGCGGCCAAGAGTGGCTGGATGCGGGTTTGTAGCAATGTTTGCGTTTGGACTCTCGTCATCAGTAGCCGGTTTTGCTCAATGCTTGAATTCATTGCCGGCAGTCGGGGGCGGGCTGCCTTGGCCGGCGGCGATGCTGCCCGGCAAGTGCGGCCGAGACTGCCCGAACCGGCTCCGCAAGATACACCCGAGACTGTCTTGACGCAGCTGCTCAGGCGCGCGGCGGGCATCGCGGATGTCCCGGTGGATGCACGCACGGTGGAGGCAAATCTCTGGCAGGAAGGGGCCGGGGCGCCATCTGATTTCTTGGGCATCACGCCCGAGGAAGCTGTTGAGGTGCGGGGCGCGTTCTCGAGAGTGTCTCTTGCTGTCGTCAGCTCCTTCTTGGTCAAAGTGTGGCAGAGGAAATCGCTTCGCCAGCACAGTGTCCGCAGTCGCCACAGGTGCGCCAGGCGCTGCGAAAGGCAGGTTCCGCGCCCGAGGAACAAACTGTGGCGAGGGCGGCGTTGCGGCTATGCACTGCGGCGCGGACGTTTGGCCGGCTCCCTGCGCCGCGCGTCCTTGCCGACGCTTTTGCTGCCATGGCACAAGCAGACGCTCTGGCATTGCACAGTCCCCCCGGAGCACCGCGGCAGGAGATCGCACGTATCTCACGCGACGGCACTGCCCCAACAGCGATGGCGGAGCAGGCAATGTGGTTGGAATTTTGCGGATGGAAAGCCAGCGCTGCAGGTTATGCCTCGGCACTGAGACTCTGTGGCCAAGTCGTTCTCTTCTGCAGAGTCCCGCCATGGCCACCAACGCAGGGCATTTTGGATGCGTGCGTTTGCCTCTTCAGGAGTGCGGCTACTTTGTCAAGATATTTGTCGCACATTCGCACTGTCTTAGTCTGGTTGCACTGTTCTGTGGGCCCCCTTGCGGACACAGCACGTGTTGTGCGGGAAGCTGAGAAGGCAGGGCGGGCGCTGCGGCGGCCGAAGATCCGTGCTTCTGCAGAGCAGACAAAAGAATTGTCACGGTGCTGTTCCGGGAACGGCTTCATTGACATCGGTGAGTCTTTCGTAGTGGCGCGGCAGTTCTGTTCGCGCTACGGCGAAGTCCTGCAGCTGGGCTCCGACACAGCTCCCGCGTCGATCAGTGTGACTGTGGAAGGGCGGAATGTCGTAGACATCACATTCATGAATAGAAAGTGCTATTCTGAACCTGATGTTGTCGCTCGCAGGTGCATTTGTGATCTCCAAGGGAAAGCACTGTGTGGCGTATGCCGGTTGGTCGCCCGGTACAAGCTCCGGGCCAAGCTCGCGAGTGGTGCCGCGGCTTCTGCGTCTACAGACACGGCGCCGCAGGCTGAAGCTGGGAATAATGTCATTTTCCCAGGCATGACATACGCGATGAGCCTTGCTGTGCTTAAGCTCGCTGCTCAAGGCTGCGGCTTCGCTGATGCGGTGGCGTGGGGCACGCATGCCTTTCGTAGAGGTTGGGCCACGGAGTGCCTTCGTGCTAACGGTCCAACAGCACTGTTCTACTCAGGCGGTTGTCGAGAGCTTACTGCTTTCCGCATACTTCTGCCGAAGCGCGGGGCTCGGTAGCTGAGGCCGAGTTTCTGGTTGAGCACTCAGAGTCGTCCGGGGCAGGCGAGTGAAAAACACTTGCGTGCATTGGGTGTCCTGCTGTTGCAAAAGCATTTCGCTTCGCGCAGCTGCCCGGCCCCACCTGCGTGCATTGGGCGTCCTGAGGCTCTCTCTCTATCAGGCTGGCGCCAGCCAGCTGCACGTGTTTGTCGTGCCCAACGTCCGCGCGCAGCATAGTGCTGCGACGTATAATTTTCTTAGCCCTCAAATCGCGCAGCGGTTTGGAGGGCAGGAAAATTTCAGGAGCTAGCGGTGCCACACTCCTCCTAGCCTATTGGCCTTGAGCTCCCAGCAGAACGCACGAAGCTTGGATACCTCCAACTGGGGGTGGCGGACTTCACCCCCCCTGGTGGGTCAGCTAACGCGCCGTGTCCTGTGGACGACGGGCGTGGGTCTGTCTGTCCGTCCGTCCCGTCTGTGTGTCTGTCGGTCTGTCGTCTGTCTGTCGGTCTGTCTGTCCGTCGTCTCCCTGGGACGTCCTCGTCCTGCCCGTGGGTGTCTGCTGGCACCGCGGGGTGGGCCTCGTGGCGTGGATGTTTTCTTTCCCCGCCCGCCCTCCCTGGGTTGAGCTCCGCTGGCTGGGCGTCCTGAGGCTCTCTCTCTCAGGTTGGCGCCAGCCAGCTGCACGTGTTTGTCGTGCCCAACGTCCGTGCGGGAGCGCACGCAGCATAGCGTTGCGACGTGTAATTTTCTGCGCTGCAGCAACGGGGCCAAGCGCGGCGCAGGTTGGCAGCAGAGGGCAGACGCCCCACTGCGCAAGGCATGCAGCGCGTAGAACGCCGCGCTGCAGCAACAAGCGTGGCGCAGGTTGACAGCAGGTTGGCAGACGCCGCACTGCGCAAGGCAGGGGGCGCAACGCAACTGAGCGCGCGGCGCGCCGGCGCGACGGCCGACCGCACACCGCGACCCAAGATGAGGTGTTGCTAGAGGTGTCCCTGGGCCAAGGTGTCCCAGGATCGGCAGGGACGGCCACAGGCCTTCCGCTCAGACCAGCTCGCTAGGACAAACTTGGACATATGTTACCAGTGCCGCCGTTCTCGAGGACCAATAGGGACACCTGCGTGGTCTGGCCGCAGGGTCTGTTTACATGTGCGTGCGAAGATGCCTGACCCCCCCCCCCGCTCAAGGGTGCCGCTCTCGTTGTCGATCCATCAACCAGCCAAGCCGGCGCGCGAGAAAAATAACAAGCAAGGAGAAGAAAAAAACAAAAGAGCAAGACAAGAAAAACACTTCGAAAACACATCAGAATATCAGCTCCAAGCCGCTCTGCGAGCGGACGGCACCTGAGCGTCACAGGGTTGCTTGGTCGCGCAACTGAGCGCACAGTGCGCCGGCGCGACGGCCGACCGCACACCGCGACCCAAGATGCACAGCTCCATGCCGCTCTGCGCGAGCAGACGGCACCTGAGCAGGGTTGCTTGGTCCCGCAACTGAGCGCACGGTGCGCTGGCGCAGCGGCCGAACGCATACCGCGACCCAAGATGCACAGCTCCGTGCCGCTCTGCGCGAGCGGACGGCACCTAAGCGTCACAGGGTTGCTTGGTCGCGCAACTGAGCACACCGTTCGCCGGCGCAGCGGCCGACCGCACACCGCGACGCAAGATGCATAGCTCCATGCCGCTCTGCGAGCGGACGGCACCTGAGCGTCACAGGGTTGCTGGGTCGCGCAACTGAGCGCGTGGTGCGCTGGCGCGACGGCCGACGCACACCGCGACCCAAGATGCACAGCTCCGTGCCGCTCTGCGCGAGCGGACGGCGTCTGAGCGTCACAGGGTTGCTTGGTCCCGCAACTGAGCGCACGGTGCGCTGGCGCAGCGGCCGACCGCACACCACGACCCAAGATGCGCAGCTCCGTGCCGCTCTGCGCGAGCGGACGGCACCTGAGCGTCACAAGATTGCTTGGTCCCGCAACTGTGCGCACGATGCGCTGGCACAGCGGCCGACCGCGCGCCGTGACCCAAGATGCGCAGCTCCGTGCCGCTCTGCGCGAGCGGACGGCGTCTGAGCGTCACAGGGTTGCTTGGTCCCGCAACTGAGCGCATGGTGCGCTGGCGCGACGGCCGACGCGCACCGCGACCCAAGATGCACAGCTCCGTGCCGCTCTGCGCGAGCGGACGGCGTCTGAGCGTCACAGGGTTGCTTGGTCCCGCAACTGAGCGCACGGTGCGCTGGCGCAGCGGCCGACCGCGCACCACGACCCAAGATGCACAGCTCCGTGCCGCTCTGCGCGAGCGGACGGCACCTGGGCGTCACAAGATTGCTTGGCCCCGCAACTGTGCGCACGATGCGCTGGCACAGCGGCCGACCGCGCGCCGTGGCCCAAGATGCGCAGCTCCGTGCCGCTCTGCGCGAGCGGACGGCGTCTGAGCGTCACAGGGTTGCTTGGTCCCGCAACTGAGCGCACGGTGCGCTGGCGCAGCGCAGCGACCGACCCCGACGCACAACCCCATGCCACTTTGCGCGAGCGGACGGCGCCTGAGCGTCCCAGGGTTGCTGAGTCATGGGCGACGAGATCTGGCCCGAGCGCCCCAAGACAGAGAAGGCGGGGACTGCGTGGACAGAGGACGTGGATCTCGGCTGCGTGGGGACGATCCGAACCCGAACCAGAGGGACCGCGAGACGCGCGACAGCATCCCCTGGGCCTGCGCGCAAATTATCCATTGATTCAATAGCAATGGAATTCTAAGAAGAGGTAACTCTTGGACAGGCAATGATCAGCCTGGAGAGAATCGATGCAAAGACACTCCTGATCAGCCAATGCAAACCAACCAACCAGCCTGGAGCGAAGCAGATTGAAAACGAAGGGCCGCGAAAACCTTGAAAGTGTGTACAAGAGGTAGGAGAGAAGAAAGCATGGTGGACGCGGCTGGACACGGCAGCGTCCATCATTTCTGCACGCTTTCCTGCCCTGGAGGGGTGGAAGGAAGATGAGCGGGGTAGTGTGTGCCCGAAAGTGCGATTGATTGATGGTTTAACTGCCTCGCTGGTGAATTTGGCGACAGCAGTAAGCGAGCCAATGCCAGTGGATACGCTGGATACTTTGGTGTCCTTGGCTGTGTGGCTTGCCCGTGGCCAGCCTGCAGATTGCGAGTTCCTGTTCAGGAAAATGACTTTAAGGGTGCATTCAAATCGCTCCCGCTCCTGTCTCAGCACTTGCCTTTCGCAGTTGTGACTTGGCAAAGCGCCGCTTTGCGCGGCAAAGGTTTACAGTTGCTATGTTGCCCATTCGGGTCGCGAGCTTCTGTATATAGTTGGCATAGATTGGGCTCGTTTCTGCAGGCGCTCCTGGCGCGAGAATTGTACATTGCGCATCCTCGGTTCGTTGATGATTTATTTTCGGCGGACCGCGCCCAGGGGGCGCATAGGGCGCTCACGGGGCCAGCGGGCACCGCGGCGTGTGCGCAGCAGATGCTCCAGCTGACCGGCTGGGAACTCGAGCAGAAGAAACGTGTGCACAACGTCACTGCGGCTACCATGCTCGGCGTGGAAGTAAGCTCTGTGCCAGGTGCTCTCATTTTCTGCATTGGAAAGCATAAGAGAGAGAAGTGGCTGGCTGTTATCACGCGTGCACTCAGCGAGAATGCCCTGCGCCCTTCCGAAGAGAAGCGGCTGGCAGGGCGGCTGAGCTGGGCAGGCAGCGTTGTCTTCGGCAAGGGGGCTCGTGCATATTTGGCAGCGCTGCATTGGCAAGCCCACAGGTCCTCGGGGCCGCTCACTTCTAGAGTCGCACAGCACTGCAATGGTGGTGCCCGTTCCTAGGCAGCGTCCCCGCGCGCCGGGTATCGCTCCAGCCGCCATCTCTGCCCAGGTGTGTCGTTTATACGGATGCCGCAGGGGATGGCCACATGGCTTTTGCGATTGTGCATCCCGCTTTCCGCGCCTGGGGGGCCACCAGGGTGCCCCAGGAGGCGTGGGCGTGGGCGCACGCGCGCCGGACGCAGATAGTGCTTCGGGAGCTCGTTGCTGCAATTTGTGCTGTGCGTTGTCTGATCGAGCATGGGCTCGCTGAGTGTGAGATAGTCATGTTCGTCGATTGCAATCCAGCCTTGCATGCGCTGGTTCGCGGAGCGAGCCGGCAAAGTGACTTAAATGATGTGATCACCGGTTTCTAGTTTGAAGTAGCCAGCGCGCGCATGCTTTTGCACGCTTACCGAGTGCCTAGCAAATTAAATATTGCTGACGGCCCGACTCGGCAAGAAACTTGGGACGAATCTGTCTTGGCTTTTCAGTGCCGCGGATTCCGTCAGCTCGAGTGGGCATGGCCGCCCGCGCTGCCTTGGTCACCGTAGTGCTGTTGGAAAAAAAATGCATCATCTGAGGCCATTGCGGCCAAGAGTGGCTGGATGCGGGTTTGTAGCAATGTTTGCGTTTGGACTCTCGTCATCAGTAGCCGGTTTTGCTCAATGCTTGAGTTCATTGCCGGCAGTCGGGAGCGGGCTGCCTTGGCCGGCGGCGATGCTGCCCGGCAAGTGCGGCCGAGACTGCCCGAAGCGGCTCCGCAAGATACGCCCGAGACTGTCTTGACGCAGCTGCTCAGGCGCGCGGCGGGCATCGCGGATGTCCCGGTGGATGTGCGCACGGCCCGGCAGGAAGGGGCCGTGGCGCCATCTGATTTCTTGGGCATCACGCCCGAGGAAGCTGTTGAGGTGTGGGGCGCGTTCTCGAGAGTGTCTCTTGCTGTCGTCAGCTCCTTCTTGGATTTATGTAAATCCTGTGGTCAAAGTGTGGCAACAGGAATTCGCTTCGCCAGCACAGTGTCCGCTGTCGCCACAGGTGCGCCAGGCAGCTCTGCTTCCGGCCATGGCACGGCGAAA